GTGGAAATGGAGCCACAGAAGGAGAAGATTTTTTTTTAGTAAAAATGAAGACTGAAATCAATTGCTAGACAGATGGATAAGAAAAGCAAGGATCCTTTATCTTCCTCCTTCCTGGCATCTTTAGGCATGCTCTTTTTTGTTTTGTTTAATGTGTGCATGTTTTTATACTCCCCAAGTGCATAAGTTTTTGGAAGGAAAATATTGAGTCATTTTTTACTTTTCCCAGTTTTATTGAGATTTAATTAACATATGCTGCTGCTAAGTCACTTCAGTCGTGTCCGACTCTGTGCGACCCCATAGACGGCAGCCCACCAGGCTCCCCTGTCCCTGGGATTCTCCAGGCAAGAACACTGGAGTGGGTTGCCATTGCCTTCTCCAATTAACATATAACTTTGTGTTATTCCAAGATGTACAACATAATGGTTTGATAATATGTAAATATTGCAAAATGATTACCACAATAGGCTTAGTTAACATCAGTCATTTTACATAGTTGTAAATTTATTCTTCTGATAATAATTTTTATCTATTTTTATTCTACTCTCAGCAAATTTTAAATATACAGTGCAGTATTGTTTAGTCAACACTGTGCATAACATCCCCAGGACTTATTTATCTTGTAACTGGAAGTCTGTACCTTTTACCACCTTCATCCCTTTCCCCCACCCACAACCCTGCCTTTTTTTGCCTACCACCAATCTGTTCTCCATATCCATGAATTCATTTTTTTTTAGAGTCCATGTATAAGTGATATCATACAGTATTACTTTCTCTTTTTTTAACTTACTTCACTTAAAATTATTGTCCTCAAGGTCCATCCCTGTTGTCACAAATGGCAACTTTTCCTTTATGGCTGAATATAGTCCATTGTCTGTATAAACCACATTATCTTTATCCATTCATTCATTGATGGACACTTCAGTTGTTTCCATGTCTTGGCTATTACAAATAATTCTTTAGTGAATATGGGAATGCAGATATATTTTCAATATAGTGATTTCATGTCCGTCAGAGAAGTAGAATTGCTGGATCATATAGTAGTTCAATTTTTAATTTTTTGAAGAATCTCCATATTGTTTTCCACAGTGGTTTCAACAGTTCACACTCCCATCAATGGGAGCTCCACATCCTACCCAGTGCTAGTTATTTCTTGTCTTTTTGATAATCACCATTCTAACAAATATGAGTTGATATTTCATGGTGGATAACTAGCATCTCTCTGATGATTAGTGATTTGAAAACTTTTTTATGTTTCTGTTGGTCATTTGCATATCTTCTTTGGAAAACAATTTTTTCCAAAGGTATTTTTTAGTTTCTCAACCCATTTTTCAGTCAGATTGTTAGTTTTTTCACTGAGTTTTGTGAGTTCTGCATGTATTTTGGATATTAACACCTCACCAGATACATTATTTGTAAATATTTTCCACCGTTCTGTAGGGTGACTTTTAAATTTGTTGATTGTTTGCAGTGAAGAAGCTATTCAGTTTTATGTAATCCTGCTTGTTTATTTTTGCTTTTATTGCCTTTACTTTTAGTGTCAGACCTAAAACATTGTTAAGACCAAAGTCAAGGAGCTTACACACTATGTTTTCTTCTAGGAGTTTCATGGTTTCATTTCTTATATTCAAGTATTTCATCCATTCCAAGTTGATTTATGTATATGATGTAAGACTTATGTATAGGATTTATGTATATGATGTTCAGTATCATTCTTTTGCATATGGCTGTCCAGTTATCCCATCACCATTTATTAAAGAGACTATCCTCTCCTCATTGTATTTTCTTGACTCCTTTGTCATAAATTAGTTGACCATACATATGTAGGTTTACTTCTGGGCTCTAAGTTCTGTTGGATTATGTGTCTGCCTTTGTGCCAGTAACATACTGTTTTGATTAATGTAGATTCATAATATACTTTCAAATCAGGAAGTATGATACTTCCCACTTTCTCCTTCTTTTTCAAGATCTCTTTGGCTATTTGGAATCTCTGTGTTTCCATACAGATTTTAGGATTGTTTTTTCTATTTCTGTGGAAAAAAATGCCATTGGAATATTGATAGCTGTTGCATTGAATCTATAGATTGCTTTGGATAATATGAACATTTTCACAATATTCTTTCAATCCATAAACAGAATATCTTTCCATTTATTTGTGTGTTTTTCAGTTCCTTTCATCTGTGTCTTACAGTTTTTAGTGTAAGGGTATTTCACCTCTTTGGTTAAATGTATTCCTTGGTGCATGCTTGTGCATGCTCAGTTGCTCAGTTGTGTCTAACTCTTTGTGACTTTATGGATGGTAGCCCACTAGGCTCCTCTGTCCATGGGAATTTCTAGGCAAGAACACTGGAGTGGGTTGCCATTTCCTTCTCCAGGGTATCTTCCCAGCCCAGGGGTCAAATGTATGTCTCATGTGTCTCCTGCATTAGCAGGTGGATCCTTTACATGCAGTTGTAATTGGGATTCTTCCCTTAACTTATTTTTATGATAATTCATGGGAGCTGATAAAAACACAACTGATTTTTTACATCGATTGTGTATCCAGCAGCTTTACTGATTATGTTTATTAGTCCTAAAAGGTGTTTTTTTTGTGTGGACTCTTTATGGTTTTCTATATATAATATGTCATTGCCGATAGAGATAGTTTTACTTCTTCTTTTCCAATTTGGATGTCTTTTTTCTCTTGCCTAATTTCTATGGCTAGGACTTCAAGTACCACGCTGAATAAAAGTAACGAGAGTCAGAATCCTTGTCTTGTTCCCAGTCCTTTTTTTTTTTTTTTTAATTTGTTGAGTGGCATCTACTCTTTTCCATATAGTTGGAATTTCCAATTTGATGGCTTCTGGTTAAGCCAGTTATGGTAATCACATCTCCCCTACCACAGATGGGTTTAGAAATAGACATGTGACCCAGTTCTATCCAGTGAAACTTGGGGTAATATGGGATAATATGCTATTAGTAAGAGACTTCTGGAAAAGATCATCTCTCTTTTTTAAAAAATTAAGATAAAAGAAAAGAGGGTATGCTGATTCTTAGAACTACTGTGTTGGGAATTTTTTAATTGACTTCATGTTATAGTAAATATTTAGGTATTACAATTTAATTTATAATTCAGTGACTGGTTAAACAGACATTTTTAAAGGGAGAGAAGATGTCAGTTTAAAACCAATCAGTAGAAAATATATTTAGAAACAAAAGAAAATTCAGATATCAAGTTTGGGGGTTTTTGTTTTGGAGACGGTGGGTGGGTGGGGGTTGACTGTGCCATGCAGCATGTGGTATCTTAGTTCCTTGACCAGGGATTGATCCCATGCCCCCTGCAGTGGAAGCTTGGAGTCTCGGCCACTGGACCACCAAGGAAGTCCTTGTTTTTGTGGGGTGTTTTTTTTTTTTTAAACAAATAGGGATATATTTGTCTCAGACATCAAGAAGTTTTGGAGGTAGCTACTTAGTGATTCTTCAGAGGCTTCTTCATCATCCTTAGTTTTCATTCTCATGCTTGTTACTTCATGGTTATGAGTGCTACACCTCTAAAGCAGGAGAAAGGGGAAAGGCCAGTGGGCAAAAGGGACATGCAAGTTAAGTCTGCTGCTTTCTCAGGAAAACAGTAGCTTTCCTGGAAGCCATGCTGAAATCTGGTTTATTGTGTTTTATTGGCTACTACTTCCAATCTGTCTCCTCAAATTTAGTTTCAACTTAAGTCACTAATTTTTCTACGTTGTGTTTATTTCCTAATACTGGTATGTTAGACCCACTAGGTGAGACATTTAATTTTTTTTTCCAAAATTAGGACTTCTGGTCAAATATGTAAATCTGTGCTAACTTCATGCAGATCAGTATTTTTATTTGAACCAGACATCATGGTAATTTTTAAATGAGTTTTATAGTTCTTATGTAAAGTTTTTCTATCTTAGCAAGAAGCTTTTCTCTCTTAGCAAGAATAGAAGACCTGTTGAACATTTCTCAATTATAAGAATTACAAACGACCTTTTTTCCAGAGTTCCTTTCAAGAAAGGAGACAGTCCATCAAAGGAAAAACTGAGCCATGTTTTAAGTTTTATATCTGATATTATGTCCAGGAATTATTTGCACAGATTTAGCTATCCCTGAGTTGTATGGTGAATTCTGTTTCCTAACATATCCTCCTGTCCCCACCTCTGTCCTGTTCACAGAAATGCTTATTCTGTTATTTAGGTAAATCATTAAAGTAAAAGTTAAAAATTTAAGAGAAAAAAAATGTGGGGTTGAAGACGCCTACTACAGACAAGGTAGAGTGGACTTTAGGAGTCCTGATGCACTTTAGGATGGACTTTAGGATGTGGTGGAGCAGGGAGTGGCCTCTTTATAAAGGAGACAGGCTGGAATGCAGACTTCAGACTTTGCTGGTGGGTGGTGGGCTACAGTCCATGGGGTTGCAAAGAGTCGGACACGACTGGGCGCCTAAGCACAGCACAGGAGGAGTTAGGCCTTGACTCACAGTGCTCTTCATTTCAGGATTCTGGATCTGGGATAGACAGGAAAAAATAGTTTCCAATGCTGCTGAGGTGAATGCTAGCTTAAGTTCATCTCAGTGATTGAAGAAAATAAATGAGGTTTATATTTGTTTTACCTACCATATTTTTACCTACTGTGACTGGAGATGTCACGGATCACAAGGGAATAGTTGAAGTTTGTATGCTTTAGTATTGTTTTGAAAGACAGACCTATATAAATCATTGATTTCACTAGTATTTATCACTGTCCCATTTTTATAATATTAAACAGGATGTCTCGGTACATAACTTTTATTTTTCGTGATCTTATTATGCAGGAGAGGATTGGGAAACCAGATTATTTGATTTCTGCATCTGAACCAGGGAAGAAGAAAACCCATTAGTAAATCTAATAACTACCTTGCCACAAAATTTTAATCCAGTTTTTTTTTTGTTATTTACAATTATTGTGGACTGTACTGCATGTTGAGGCTAATTGGAAACAGTGACCAGATTCTTAATCATTATCAGGAAACTGCATTCAGAGAATGAGAAGAACACCCCCACTGGATGAATTGCAGCCACCACCATATCAGGATGACAGTGGTTCTCCCCACCTCTCATGTACACCCTCAGAAATTGGGGACAGTAAATGTGAATTTTCCCACTGCAGCAACAGTCCAAGATGCTCATATAACAAGTGTCCGAGTGAAGGAAGCGCAGGTCACGAAATAGAAAGCTTTCATAACAAAGGATATGAAGAAGATGTTCCGAGTGACAGCACTGCAGTCCTGAGCCCTGAAGTAAGTAAAAGCATGTAGAATATTCAAAATTAATGTTGTTTGGGAGATAATAACCCTGTGCTTCTCCTCCTGGTCAGAAGGTTTTATCACTATCGTGTCCTTTGTGGCTTATGGTTTCTGTTTTTATCCAGCAGACCTTTCAGGGCTGTCCCAACCATGCTGCAACTCCCCCTCAAAAAAAAACGAATGGGTTGATAAAACTGAGAGCAATATGTAAGATACTGAAAAGTATCTTCCCCGACATTTCAACTTCTGTTGGGGTTTAAAATAATTTTTGTTCACATTTTACATAAAATACTCTGGAATTACCCATTTCTTTTATGTTAAGGTTCCTATTTGTGTTTGTGTTTATTTTTTAACTTACTGAATTTAGATACTTTTACTATTGGGAGGATACCCTTTAATGTTTTACAAACCTTACAGAATATTGTTTGCATTTTCACTCTCTGGAATATGGGAGGGATAAGTGATGCTCAGCTTTACTATGAAGTTTGAACTCATGGCATCATGCATTCAGAGTGATTGGTTGGTTGTGCTTTAAGATTTCCTTTTTGTGGAGCAGAAAATGTGAAAACGGCAATAAAAATAGGTGTGTTATACTTTCGAAGTCTTTCCATGTTCTAAAAAGCATTTGTTTTGATCTTCCTATGATGATGGAAACTGTAAAGGTAATCTAGAGGTTTTCATAAGGCAGTATTTACTTTCTTCTAGATTGCAAATTTTTACAAGTTTTGTCCCATACGACATTTCATTATACTGCAGGGTGTCAGTGTTCTTACTAGTTGAATTTTTATCTGTTGCCAAAATGAGATAATGAAAGTAGAGCTCTGAATACAATTTCCTTAAATTTTTTCTTACATAAAAATTTCTAAGGACACTTTTTATCTGTTACTACTTTTCTACTATTTCTAATATTATTATTATATAGTATCTAAAATTCTACATTGGTATTATTAGTTTCATATAGCAGTAGTTCATGATTTTCCACAAAGAATATTTCTCCATGTTCTATACCTGAGCAAATTTGTGATAACTGTTTTATAGACTTGGAAACCAAATATCTAGCCAAGAAGTTAACAGTGAAGCCTGGATTGTGGAACTAACTAACAACAGTAATAGCAATCACCAATCGTCCTAGGAATTTTGCTGTAATTTTTACACAGTCAGCTCATTTAATTCTAACAACATCACCTTCAGGAAGTTGTTATTTCCATTTTAGAAAAGAAAGCATCAAAACTCAGAGAATTAAGCAGTTTGCCCAGTATAAGGAGATCTTAAATGATAGAACTGTAATTCAAACCCAGGTGTGCCTGACTGTAAAAACAGCGCTCTAAAAAGCTTTGCTGCGTTGCTCCTCTTCACCTGAATCATAGTGTGGGAAGTTACTCTGAAGCACTGGTACCCTCCAAGTACACCTCCAGGCAAGCAATCCCAGAGGACTCACAGACCGAATTAAGATGCTCAGATTACCCTGGTGCGTGTATGTGTGGGTGCGTGTATGTGTGGGTGCGTGTATGTGTGGGTGCGTGTATGTGTGTGTGTGTGTGTGTGTGTGAAGCTATTTCAGATATACAGCAAGAAGTAAGAGGAGCGAGAGAAGGTAGGAGAACACAGTTAGGATAGGGCACCAGTAAGTACAGGCAGCAGGACCACACCGTGTGAATCCCGGTTTACATGATGTCCTTCTGTCCAGCCTTACTGTTTCTGCTCGATTAGCATTCCCTAATTATGGCATGTTAACAGGGACGGAAGTTGAGATTTGCACCAGGGTTCCCAGGGCCATGCTGGTTTTACGGGGGACATGCAGGGGAGGATCCTCCTGGCCACTGTAGAAACTCGCAGTTACTCTACTAGACACAGATTTTAGCTGCATTTCTTAAATGGAACACATGATGACTTCATCATAGCTTAGGCTTTCTGTCCCTTTCCATAGCTAATAGTCATTTGTTCTATCCTATTTTCTGTTTATTCTGTCGAGTATATCTTGCAAGTGATTAACTTAGTTATTATCTATATTTACCACATCTGAATTCTGCTTGTGTCTCTCAAGTTACTTCCTTACCTGTTATCTGTAGTTAACAGAGCCTGTGAGTTTTGCCCGTATTTCAGGAGCTTGCTCTCTGTGTTAATACTTATGAGGAGTCTCCCCTATCCTGCTTGTATTTATGTCTTCTGCAGCAAAACTGAATATATTCAAACTACAGCAAATGCATGTTACCTGAATACGTCAGTGCTGATAGCCTGTGTTAGTATGAAACTGATTCTTGTGTCTTTTCCAGTTTATTTTGCTTACCACCATTCCTTTAATAAATATTACTTATCAGTTAGAAAATTCTTACCTTCCTGTTGGTTTAGTCCAGGATCCAGCTCTCTTAGAGCCTTTCTATCTCTGTACACAGTTGAACTGGGAGAGGACCAAGGAGGAATCACAAGGCTTCCCAGGCAAGGAGTTCATTAACTGTATTGATAACCTGTTGCTAGCTAAAGATTATTCACAACTTTTCACCAAAAGAATTATTCACCAAGAGAAACAAAATTCAGAAATAGCTTTCTGGGACTTTATAAACATTTTCATTGCCTTGACAATCTTAGCTGTCATGACACTAGTTTAGAAAATATTTAATCAAATAAATAATGTAATTAATCATCTATAATTATGAAGTGGCATGCATTAAAACGTCTTACTCTAAACTGTAAGTGTAAGAGAGTAAGAATGTTTTTGTACCGATCTAATCATATTGCATAAAACACTGAGTTCCCCTGTGAGAGTTTGTTCCTGTTCCTAAAGAATTCTCCTTCACTTGCCATCTTTTCTTCCATACGTGATGGCAGTTGGATCATCATAGGTAGACACGGAGGTTTATAAGGTCGAAGGCTTATGTCCTTTTGATTCTCTGCTGCATCCTGCCACTTAAAATACAGCCAGGCACATAGTAGGTGCAATAGTTAGGCACATGTTAAGGTCCTATTGGGCTTCCCAGGTGGATCAGTAGAAAAGAATCCACCTGCCAATGCAGGAGGTGCAGGTTCCATCCCTGGGTCAGGAAGATCCCCTGGAGAAGGAAATGGCAACCCACTCCAGTATTCTTCCCTGGGAAATCCCATGGACAGAGGAACCTGGCAGGCTACAGTCCAGGGAGTTGCAAAACATCAGACTCGACCGAGTGACTAAACAACAAAGGTCCTAAAACAAGGAGACAAATACAACGTCAAATACAAAGCCATGGAAGATTGCCTTTCATTTGACCGTTCGACAACATCATCCATCAGCCCAGTTCATGCTTTTTAATCACTGTCATTCCCTAGGGTGTTGACCTAATACACACATCCTCTGTGTGTATCTGCTTGTGGGAAGAGTGACAGAGAAAGAGAGTGCAGAGCGGGTCGTTTGTTCTGCAGACCTGATCTGGTTTATACAGAGCTCTGTCTCTTTCCCATTGGTTGGAGCAGAGTTACATAGCCATATCAGCTATCAGTCAGTTCAGTCGCTCAGTCATGTCCGACCCTTTGCGACCCCATGAACCGCAGCACGCCAGGCCTCCCTGTCCATCACCAACTCCGAGAGTCCACCCAAACCCATGTCCATCAAGTTAGTGATGCCATCCAGCCATCTCATCCTCTGTTGTCCCCTTCTCCTGCTGCCCTCAATCTTTCCCAGTATCAGGGCCTTTTCAAATGAGTCAGCTCTTCATATCAGGTGGCCAAAGTATTGGAGTTTCAGCTTCAGCATCAGTCCTTCCAATGAAAACCCAGGACTGATTTTCTTTAGGATGGACTGGTTGGATCTCCTTGCAGTCCAAGGGACTCTCAAGAGTCTTCAACACCCCAGTTCAAAAGCATCAATTCTTCGGCGCTCAGCTTTCTTTATAGTCCAACTCTCACATCCACATATGACCACTGGAAAAACCATAGCCTTGACTAGACAGACCTTTGATTTGTTAAAATACTTGAAGGGGTGAAGTGGTATAGCTGAAAAGTCTGAGAGCTGAATTTGGTACTATTCAATAACTAGCTGAAACTGTTACATCCCAGATAGTTAGATTAGCAGGAATTTGAGACAACTAAAGTAGGTACAGTTTCTTTTACTCTTATAATTAAAATACACAGTTTAACACTTTTTTAACTTTTGAAGTATCCTGCCATTTTCAACAGTGATTAGTATTAAAAATAATATATACTTTGAAATTCTAGTTAAAAATTGAAATAGCGTGTGTGTTATGGAAAATAAATATTTGACTTTAAATATTTTGGGGCTTTTGTGTTTATACTTTCATATTTCACCTTTCCATTGACTTTTAAGCCTAAATATGTTAACATTCTAATACAGGTGGGGGCATTTGGGGACACACCTGAAATTGGAACCAGATTTTTCAATAGCATTTTTCTTGTATTTATGTTCTCTTTCTCTCCTTCTTGATATTGAGCTGTCAGTTGTATTGTTTATAATGTTAAAAATTTAGCTTATTTTTTTTTTCACAAAAAGAACAGAGATACACATTGAAATATATATTTTCCAATTTCTCACAATAAAAACATACAGCCAACTTTCTCAGAATGGTAATGGTGACTATTCCATGTCTTTATTGTATTTATTAAGTTTTTGAGTTTAACTTAACGTTATTCTGCCTCCATAGAGTAACTTTTGATTGTAGTTGGCTGTTGATTATTATTACTTTCTTTATGATAGCAAATCAAAATAGTTTTCATATCACCCTTCTAAAGAAATACCAGGTACTAATTTACATGTTGAATTAAATAATGGAGTTAAAAACTGAAAACATTTAAATTTGCTTTTCTTAGGATGTGTCAGCTCAAGGATCATCTTCACAGCTTCCTAAACCTTTTGATCCTGAGCCAGAAGCTAAATATGGCACCCTGGATGTGACTTTTGACTATGACTCACAAGAACAGAAGCTTCTGGTAACAGTGACAGCTGTCACAGATATCCCAACATATAACAGGACAGGTGGCAACTCATGGCAAGTACACCTTGTTCTTCTACCTATAAAGAAACAGAGAGCAAAAACCAGCATCCAGAGAGGACCATGCCCTGTCTTCACAGAAACATTCAAATTTAATCATGTTGAATCTGAGATGATTGGAAATTATGCAGTTCGGTTTAGACTGTATGGTATACACCGCATGAAAAAAGAAAAGATTGTGGGGGAAAAGATTTTTTATTTAACAAAATTGAATCTTCAAGGGAAAATGTCATTACCTGTGATATTGGAACCTTCTTACAATCATTCTGTGAGTATCTGCTCAAATAGCCCAAATACAGTTTATGTCATGGTATATAATATACACAATTTTTAAAATCTATGATCAACCCACCAACTTTCTCAGCCTACTTTTTCCCATGGTAATCATACCTACAAAATTTCTAAGTCCTAGATAGGTAGGTATAACTTTTTCTCATCTATAAAAGTTGCCCTTGAAGATTATATATGATTTATTTTATGTGTTTTATGTTCACAGAGCCTGACCTGATGTCTTACATATTTATTCCTTCATTAAACATGTATTAGATGATTGCTTATGACATCATCTGAACTCTTTAGAGAATTTATGGTTTTCTTTCCATGTTAAATCTAGGTTGATATGTTAACAACTATCTAGCCCCATATCTTATTTGATATACTATAGAAATTATTTGTTCTTACAGAATATATGCTGCTGCCTCTGTCATAACTGATTGTCTTTCCAGATCGGCTGTGAAATTATCTTTAAGGGTTCAAAAAAACCTTGCCCTTGTTATACTTTCTAAAAACAAAGACTTTTACGGTGTTTCTGGGAGAATATTTGTGTTTAGTCCTTTTCTCTTTTTTCCTCCAGGTTCTGATCACATACCCTGTCTGTCTGTCTGTCTGTCTGTCTCTCTTCGTATTTTAAACTAAATTGCCACAAGGCATTGCAGGTCACAGGAGAGCTGCACAACTTATTTAAACCAGGAAGATATACTATGTCACATAGCTATTTAGATTATGCGAAAATCCATGATATGCTATAAATAGAAATTTTGAATTATATTTAGTCCTCTTACAATTGAATAAGTATTTTTACCTATAAATACACAGGTTTGGAATAAATCTGTGTATTAAAATGAAAGTATACTATTTTAGAATTGTTTCTAAGCTTTTAAATGTCAAGCGTTAAGTCTAGGATTAGTCTGATTGAACTTCTGCCAGGCAGCATTTGAAGGTCTCATAGGACCTTCATCCCCAGTAGAGCCATACCTTTTCAACTAGATGATTTCAGCATTTTTAAAAACCAAAAGGTAATAATTTAGTACATCTCTGTGAGTTTTTAAGATAATATTTATCCTTTATTGGGTAAATTGATAGCTTGTTTTCACTTTAAATTTTAGAATTACTATAGATGCCAGCAGTTTATCAGAAGGGAGCAGGGGAAAAAAATGCAAGCACTATTTCAGAGGGGAAAAGATAACTTTTTAATAAAATTAAATATTCTGTAATTCTTACTGTGATTTTTTTAAACTTTCTCATTATTTGGTCTGAGTGGTTACTAGTTAATCTGTGGAAAATGCATTCCTATATATAGAAATACCTGATTTATATTAGAAGAGAATGCCTGTACCATCAAGAGGTATGTATTTTGTGTTTCTTTATTTGCTTTGATTTTTCTGTTCCCAATTCTGTATTAATTATATACTTTTCACAAAGAAAATGAAGCCATACAAAATAATATGGTTTTAACATGTTTTTTTCCCTCTGGCCAAACTAAATGATTTCTGTACACACCTCCATTACATGTATTGGCCAAAATTTAATTCTGTATTTCTGTATGTCTGACAACCAGTACAATTAATTTCTGTGGAGTGTTCACAAAAAGAAAAAAGTGCTAAGTAGAAAGCATCTAAGACATAACGTTTAAATCTGAAGAAAACTTATTTTCTGCTCTTAGAGAATTTTTCCTCTGCGTTGCCATGCTTCTCAAAGTCTCTGCTGCTTCTTAAAGTCTGTGCCTGTGTTGAATTGTTACTCTCTTGTCTTCTTTTTTTCTCCACCTGCTCGAAATCTCATTGCTTCTTTTTGGCTTCTGTGCCAAAAAGAGCTAGTGTTTGACAATTGCGAGGTTAAGACTCCAGATTCTGTCTATCAGTTTTCTTGTCATAAAAATAAAAGACTAAAAGAATGTCTACATTCTGGCTGTTCTCGAGTGTTAGTGTTCTCTTTGCTGAAGTTCTGATATTAATTGTATAAAGAAATCATGTGATTGTAGATCACCTAGGTGATTTTAGCTCCACTTTTGTAAGATATAATAATATATGGGTGAGAGGTACTTTCATAATTAAACATTTATTCTTAGAGCTTTTGAATAATTTCTTCTTCTCGTTGAAAGAATATTATTAGCCTTTTGGCAAGGGAAAGTTCTAATCTAGTCAAAAAATTTACAAACTTTGGTTAAAGCATGTTTGAAGCTTAATTACAGTTCATGTCCATGAGTAATAATACAAAATTAGAATTCTGCATAAAGAATTTAGTTTTATAGCTAATTTTTCAGGAACTGATCCAAACAATACATTGAGAGAAAAATGACCAGTATCACCAAACTAACTTTCTGAGAAGTAAGCCCTGAGTTTCCTTGAGGGTAAGATTTAAGTTTAACATTAAGATAAGTATATAATTTGATCAGTGAACAATAGAAAATATACGAAGGGTTAAAAAGCACGTGTTCTTCCTACTAACTAGTTGGGTGCGTTTGGATAAATTATCTAATAATATTGGGTATCAGGTTTCTTGTTAGTAAAATGAGAGAATTAAAAGAAATGATCTCTAGGGTTCTACCCATCACTATGTTCTCTGATTCTACTAATATATATTGGGGGGGAGTCAATGATTTTTAGGTGAGTTTTGTATGCTTAGTATGTGATGTTTGATTGTGGACATTTGTTATGTTTTCTCACTTCTTCATGATTTTTCAGCAACCTTTTTATGTCTGAGGAAGTCCCAACTAATACTCCCCCGTCCCTCAGTTAAGCTGTGTAATTCACTTTCCCATTCTCACTGGTAGCTAGGGCAGGAGGCCTGTTAACTAGATGCTCTGCTCATACTCACCTCCAGGAAACCTCGGCACAGACTGAACAGAGAAGCAGATGCTACACTCAGTTTGTGTTCTCATGAGGCTGATGGTGGAGGAACCTGAGATCGAGTCAGTAGTAATTCTGAAATAGTTCTGGTGTTGCAGAAATTGTATTGGTGCTGAACAATGTTAAGTAATAATTGCAGAAAAGAAAAGACTTTGGCATTTAAGTACGCAGTAGGAGCAGTAGCCGATTTCCTCCCCAGCTCAGGTCTGCAGTATGGTTTTAGATTTTGCTCTTGAGGAGCTTAGCCATAAGCCTGGTTCTCTCGTCACCCCAGTCCCTTTAATAAATTGCTGTTTCACTTAGAGTTAGCTTCCAATGATTTCAAATAAGAACCCTGACTGGAAACTTTGACGTAGCCACATGGTGTAGTATTTACTTGCAATAGTCACTTCTTACACTATACTCACTAGTTAGTGTTGCTAGTTACCCTTCCTACCATGGTGTGAAAGTGGAAGTGTGAGTTGCTCAGTCGGTCTGACTCTGCAGCCCCACGGACTGTAGCCTGCCCAGCTCCTCTGTCCATGGAATTGTCCAGGCAAGGATACTGGAGTGGGTAGCCATTCCCTCTCCAGGGGATCTTCCCGACCCAGGGATTGAACCCAGGTCTCCTGCATTGCAGACAGATTCTTTACCATCTGAGTCTCCAGGGCAGCCCACCATGGTGTATCCCTCTCATAATTTGAACTTATCTCTTACTCTCAACTTGTTTATATGACATTCTTTCCTTGTGGCTCAGTTGGTAAAGAATCCACCTTCAATGCAGGAGAGCTGAGTTCAGTTCCTGGGTTGGGAAGATCTCTTGGAGAAGGGAAAGGCTACCCACTCCAGAATTCTGGCCTGGAGAATTCCCAGTCCGTGGGGTCACAAAGAGTCAGACATGCCTGAGTGACTTTCACTTTCCTTGTGTATTAATATAACCCCAGTTACTTTCTTCACATGCATTTTTGGTACTGTATAGTAATCTTTCTATTACAGTTGTCTGAAATAGCTTCTTCCCTTTTCTCCCCTGAAGTTTTATTTCTTATTCAACTTATTAAATTTCTTAATAATATTACATGTATTCATTATGATTTATTAATAATTAGACTTTATTCTTTCTTTCATAAACATGCAACCCTTCCTATACAGACAGTACTTAATTAGTATAATCTATGTACAGTGGGAGACCTGGGTTCGATCCCTGGATTGGGAAGGTCCCCTGGAGGAGGGCATGGCAACCCACTCCAGTATTCTTGCCTGGAGAATCCCCATAGACAGAGGAGCCGGGTGGGCTACAGTCCTTGGGGTCACAAAGAGTTGGACACAACTGAGCGTCTAATCACAGCAGTGGGCAGCTGAGACGGAATAAAAGGTAAAGACACTGGAGATGGACCAGTTGGTCAAAGGAGGCCAGGTTCTTGGATGGGTTATCCCCATGAGACTCATAAAAGATGGTGGCAGAAGTTGAAGTATAAAATAGGATTGAATCAAGGATTGTGATTCTCAAGAAACAAAGAGAAAATGATCAGGGAGTGAAGAGGAAATGTATTGGACAGAATAACTATGAAGACTGACGGGCTCCTTAAAGGAAAATTGTTGTTCTTTTCCATGATTTTAGAGGAACAGTGTTGGCAAAAGCAGCAGAAAACTTTGCTGCCTGACTCTGAGGCACTTTAGGTATGAGAGAATAACCAGGGTGAAAAGACTGTAGAGAATGATACACTCTCAGGGAAGAATTGGAATTCAGTTAAAGATGTTGAGGGTTCAGAGAAGAAACTCAAGTTCTGGAGGAGTTTACCATAAATCAGGAGCACCCAGAGGCACAGTGGGGAGATCCTGAAGAGGAGGAGCATGATGGAACTTCGTGTTGGCAAGAAGTGCCAAGAATACGTGAGTATATTGGGTTGGCCATAAAGTTCATTTGGGTTTATGGAAACCCAGAAACCAACTTTTTGACCAACCCAATAGAATAAATGTTAAAGTAAAAGAGATGGCAGTATCATCAGGGGTTTGCCTTCATTTACATCCGGGAGTTGGTGATGGACAGGGAACCCTGGCCGGCTGCATTCCATGGAGTTGCAAAGAGTAGGACACGACTGAGCAACTGAACTGAACTGACACTATACCAAAATGTCATTCCCAATCATAATTTGACGAGCTA